GTCAGGGTGAGTTTCAAAGTCTTGTACCATTACATCAGTGTGTCTGAAAACTGAACACATGTGGAAAGCTCCAGTTGTGATTTACATCATCTTTGTATCTATGCTACTCACATAGATTGGAAAAGAAAGTCCCTGCTCTGAGGGCCTTGTGATCTGCTTTTAGAAAGTGTAATGTAAACGACAGGAGCCAAGAGAAGGGAGTGGAAATGAGACAGTGTTTGAATGACATGATGTCAGAGTCGATGGGAAAATGGAAGAACTGAAAGTTATTGAACAGATTCTTTGGTCTGGTGCTTTCTCCAGGGTGAAATCCTAGCGTTAGTGAATGCACATCAGTGCTTCTGGATCCAGGATTTCCTCTATAAGATTTCCCTAGTAGTTTCTCATTTGTCTTTTTTATGTCATTATCAGTCTATGTCTTCAGTCTTTTACAGTAATTACTTGAAAGCATGCAAAATTAACTTAAGCAAATCCAATTTGTAAGGAAGAAATAAGAAAGGACTCTGCATTATGAAGTGCAAATGAGCAGTTTCCAGTATATTGCATGCAGATGGTCAACTAAGCCTGTTGATTATTCACAGTACTTTCTGTAAAATAGCTATTTTCACCTTTCTTTTTCATGACAGTGCAATATCAAGGGAAGGAGCCTTGATGACACTCCATACCACTTATTCAATAACTAATGATTACTAGAAAATTACATTTTGCCAAGTAATAATGGTTATTTCACAACCTGCCTCAGAAACAAATGGGTAACTTAATATCACAAATTCTTATGCAGTATTTCTGGTTAATAATCAGTTTAAAGGCTTTTTCTATAGATTGTCATAAAGTTTCTGAAAGGATTTCTGGCTATGTTGTTCAGCAGGACTCTTTCTGGCCAGGCAGCCAGCAGATGTGGATTTGCGCTCTGCAGCCAGCCAGCCTTCCCTGCTGCCTCCAGGACCTGCTGTGGAGGGAAGACACCGAAGTTACAGGTACAGATAAAAGAAAAATGTGGAGCTGGTGGGCAATCGCATCCCTAGTCCCATGGTTGGCACTGGGCTCGGCGTTCCCTTTCTCCCTGAAATGCTTACTCCACTCCCTTGACCGGAACCTGCTAAACTCCTGTTCCTTCTCTTGCTGTCTTACCTTATTGCCCTCTTCTGTAGTGTTTTGTTCACCACAAGCTTAGACTGCTCTCTCTTACTTTCCCCCACTTCTCCATTCCTTAATCATCCTGCTGTGCTTTGCATTTCATGTTTCAAATGTTTTTCTGATAACTCCCAGATCTTCAAAGTAGTCTGTTTCACTCATCACTTTGCCAAAACCGCTGGCACACTGTGCCAGTTAGCTGTATACTTCAGCACTTTGCAGTTTAAATCATAACACAGTTAGAAGCTACTTTGTTGATTCATTCTCATCGTAATCTCCACAAGCTTAGCTCAAAATCAACTCTTCTCTGAATTATTGCTTCTCTGAAGAGGCACCAGGTGCCATATACTGCCTGGGGTACCTCTGGGGCCATACAGTCCATTTGGGTATAGCCAGAGGCTGCACCTTGTTCCCAGTCCTGTTGGCTCATTTTACACATCCCAGTGAAGCTGTGGCTTTTGTGGCTGAAGAAGAGGGGTCTTACTTACAAATGCTTTTCTGTGATGACTCAGAACAGAAAGACTTCTGAAGCAAACCAAACTGCAGGTCACTCTGAAGAAAAAAATCTGGACTACTTTTAGGAACTCTTAGTAAAGGTTGACCTTTAAAAATAAAAGTCAGCTTTGATTCCTCACAAGTGGCACTGTAATATCTGACCTTAGCCATGTCTGGCCTCAGTCCCAGTCACAACTAGATTCCTGACTTCCCTGGAGAGCAGAAAGAGGAATACAAGATGTCAGAGAGGTATTTGTATGGATTAACCTTGCCTAAGAGGATAAAGTAGCCTAGGATTTTTCACTAGTCATAAAGGAAAGAGGTACTCTTCCAGGGAAGGGTCCCAGGATGTTACCTTCTGAAGGAGCTACTGTCCTGGGAGAGCCCAGGGCATTGGCCTTATGGGGCTAGAATTAGAGTTTCTGGATACATCACCCCTTGTCACTTAGTCCTTTTATCTAACTGTAACTGATTTACTGGATCTTAGCCCATTAAATAGCAGAACACTGGAAAAACCCCAAATCCCCAGGAATAGCTGCTTAGCAACATGTGAGTAAAAAACATAGACAATAATGGCTTAGCTGGGTTTTAGTCATCTTAATATGAAATTTGGTGAACAAATTACATCAGAAGTGAGAAGTCAGAAGTGAAAAATGAGCCGGGCTTTCCCTTTTCATAGTGCTGTAAATTCTTCCTATTCTTATTGTGATGCTCTGTATTTGCGTTTCATATCACATGCCTGAAATTTTACATGAAGTTGTTTCTACCTTTATCTGTGGCAGGTTCCTTCAGCTGCTGTGGATCATGCCTTTAGGAGAACATATTTATTTACCCCAAGTCAGGTCTAAATGAGCACTGCATGTAGGAGCTCTGAAGTACAGCATATCACTATCTTTTTAGTCATAAACCGTCTTCTGAGGTCAGAAGAGTGAAATTTAGCAAAGAAAATAGGAGTCATCCAAGAAATACCTTGCCTGGTTCAGGCAAGCTAAATCTGTCTTTTAACAGTCACTGAACATATAGCTTCCCGTCCTCCTTATGCTGCACTGGAACAGCCTTGCTGAGGTTTCTTGGGTGCTGTGCACATTAGCTACAGGCCTTAACCCTCTTCTGCTTGCTCTATCATTATGCACACAATGTCTGTCTGCTTACTTAGAGGGCTTCTGTCTCTCCCATCACTGTGGTATCTGCCTACCATAATCCTCATTTAAGAGTTGAGGGAATTACAAGGACAATGCAGCTAAGTGATTTAACCTGAGGTGAGAAGTCAGCAATGAAGCATTAAGTCCTCCACAAGGTCAGATAATTATTTAACATTACTTTTGAGTTCCTTTATAAAAAGGAATACAAACAATGCTTTGCTACACTGCACAAATGCACATGCTGGATGCTCATATGACTGAAGGGAGAGCAGACAAGCAAGCAGACATCAGTGCTAGAGGATTCACTGACTACAAGGTTAACTCTTAATGAACTAAGACTTCTGACACCAGATAATCAGAGAATCACAGAATTGTCTAGATTGGAAAAGACCTTGAAGATCATCCAGTCCAACCATTAACCCAACAATGACAGTTCCCAACTACACCAGATCCCTCAGTGCTAAGTCGACCTGACTCTTAAACACCTCCAGGGATGGGGACTCCACCACCTCCCTGGGCAGCCCATTCCAACGCCTAACAAGCCCTTCTGGAAAGAAATGCTTTCTAATATCTAGTCTAAACCTTCCCTGGCACAACTTGAGGCCATTACCTCTTGTCCTATCACTTATTACTTGGTTAAAGAGACTCATCCCCACTTTTCTGCAACCTCCTTTCAGGTAGTTGTAGAATCGAATCAGGTTTTCACAGAATGTGCCTCTGCCCTTTCAGGATGATCTTTATTAAATATATTCTGAATTGGACCCTTCATTTCTGTTCTGTGTGGCATATAATTTCCTAACTTTATTTACCAATTTATCTGCATTAGAATAACACTAGCACTGGTGTAGTGTCCTCAGACAACTAAAGTATGGTACGATTGCGGGGGAACCTTTGCTAGGATAGTACAGGTCTCTGGACTTTCTGGAAATTTTGGTGACCTATTGAGATGCAGAGTTGGGGAATTCATTCCAATTTCATGCTGATGCAGCTGAAACATTAATATATTTTTCTTTTTGGAATTTACTGTATAAAGGCTTTTTGATGATGAACTACACAGTAGGTTAAACATGGGCTCACATGAATTTAAAACAGCTGTTTCTTTAAAGACACCACGTTCCATATCAAAGAAAAGTTAAAGTGATCAGGACAAATCCTTTCCCCACATGTCTGGATGTGTTGAAAGAGGAAGCAGTGGTCTGAGAATAGAGTCTTTCCCTCTCCTCTTATGTGACAGTAGAACAATTTGTATTGGCAAAGACATGAGGGGAAATGCTTCCTCTTTTTAAATGGTGGAAGCCAACCTCTCAAAATTTCAGAGACAGTGTTCTTGCACACATGCTTCCTGCTTTAATCTTAAAAGACTATCTCTGAACAGCCAAGATTATTTTTTTTCTCTCCCCCAGTTTGGCTTACCAATGAACCTGTAATGAAGTGGCACAGCACATGCGACTGCCTTATTTGTGCCCTCATCATAACCTTTGAATCAGCTGATGGATTTCAGCCACATTTGACAGACAGTAACTTCCTGCTTTTACATGAAAATCAGCCACTGGATAGACAAAAGCAACTCTACTAAAAGAGTGAGGAAAAGGCAGGGAAATGTCAACCCTCTTCTGACCACAGCTGGCCAACCAAAGAGCAGATGTGTTGGTCATAGAAGCTATGCTATATGGTTTTTGCCTTTCTGAAAGCCCCCCCTCCAAAAAAAACCCAACACCAAAAAAAAAGAATATACAGAAGAAGCTGCTACTGTGGACGGAGGGATAGGGAACACACAGGGAGCTGAATGTTTACAGTGGCAAAGTATACCAGACACAGGACACCGGCCTTCATTAGGATCAGCACTCACAGAGCAGCTTTGGTGATTTGGTGAGAGGTGAAGAAAAGCACCAATGAAACTAAACACTTTCAATAACCAAAATGAAAATGCTTCTCTATTTTTCCATATTCCACATTAAACCAGGATAAACTGCAGAAAAAGTGTGAGCAAATTACATATAGCTGCGTGGTATAAAGAATCAGTGCCTGTTCTCCATATGTTTTCTTCCTGCAACAGTTCCCAAGAACTGAATATTTATGCATTAACAAACTGCAAAACCATAGCCAAAAATTTTCCTATTCCCACATCGTTATGATTTACACACAACTTCACCTGTGGCAAGTTCCTTTTGCTGACAGAATTTAATTTTTCACTCTAATTTTGATGTAATAACACATCATTTGTGTCACAAAATTAGTGCATAGGGCAAAGGTCACACTTTATGCCCCAGTGTTGGTGCAAATGTAACCTTCATATGCATGAACAGGGCTCTGCAGGTGAGATCGCATTATGTAGCACAGGAGTCATATCAACCTGGATTTACTTTTTTTTTTAATTAAGAATGTGTTACCAGTAGGTAAGTAAAATGAATGTTTTAATTCCCACTTCAGCTGTGAAATTTTCCGCAGACTTCAGTGGACTCTGGATTAAGTAGGCAAAATTTAATTAGCTACAGAAACTGCAGGGCAGAGGCCCAGGGGACTGAGCAATACCCGAGCAGAGAGGGCTATCTGGGAGGGCACTGGTATGTTCCCATTATCCTTAGCGATGAAGTATGAGTAACACCTCGGAATGCAAAACACACTGAAATTTGTGTTTGGTTTATTCATACAAAGTTCAAAACATCCTAACAAATATATAATTTTGCATCAGGTAAAAAAATATACAATAGAAGGATTATGCCAGTAGGAATATCCTTAAGAAATACACACAATTTCTTGTTAAAAAAAAAAAAAAAAAAGCCAGATCACATCTTTCTTTACAAAATATGATTTTCTTTTACAAACCTTATACAATATGCCATTTTGATTAGCTTTTGCAATAAATAGTTCATCAAAGTGAAATTAACTAGTAGTATATATATATTTGCTTTTTAAATTAATGTCACAAAATGGTCCTAGGTAATGCTATAACTTAACAGTGAGCCACTACAGTGGCAAAAATTAGTATCATTTACTTCCTCATTTATAGTCAAGTTTCTTGTGCTTTAAAAAAATAATATGATTCTATGAAAAGTCTGTGTACACATCTTCATATAAGAATTTTTACTGTCTTAAGAATGCAGCAATAAGAAAATAAACTCAGCAGCCTGTTTGCTTTTTTTTTGGCCTTAGTGAAGTATGAGGAGTGCACTTAGGCCTTTTCTGAAGCTGGTACTGTTCTTGAATTAGAATCTTCTTGTTCAGAGTCCTGAAGGTGCTCTGCTGTCTTGCTGGCCTCATCCCCAGACTCCTCACTCTGATTTTGGGGTTCTTTTGAAACAATGGTTAGCTTGTCATAAAAAAGATGCTCTTCTTGTGGGAGTGGATTAAAAATCTGCGAACCACTGGGAGGGTTGCTCAAAAACTATGAAGGAAAGAGGAAATGAGAATTAGGCTGCACCAGCCATACCATCCTGTTTGCTTAGAAATATGTTTTATGTTGTTTTCCACACATCAGTTGGCTTTCTCAACCCTTAGAAGTCCCAGAGTAGTGACAATGTACTAACTTCTCTGCTCACTTTAACATCCTGTGCAAGGCTTAGAAGCAAGTCAGCAGTGCCTTTACTTGCAAGAGATACCCCAGGGGTTAGTGACTTCTTCGCAATATAAACTTTCTTAAAAAAATAAAATACCTAGGTTTTGTTAAGAAACAAAATCTAAAAGTGGTGACTTGACTGTAGGTGAAGGAGTTCACAGAAAGATTTGTGGAATAGCTCCAAGAGATGTGAATTGTTCCTGCCATCTCAGAGACCTGTCTGCTCAGACATCAAACAGTGGTGCTTTAAATGTCAACATAAACCATAACCATTTAGTCAAGTAAAGGAGAGGCAGAGAGATTTGTGGGACTATGCAGTTCAGTGAGAAAGATGACTTAATTTTAGTACTGAAATATCACAACTTCCTCCCACTCCCTGTTCTATTGACAAGATGGAACAAGCCTCAAGAATCAATGTGGACGGGGTGTCATGACTGTATTTTGAATGTCAACACAAGAACAGCACACCTACTCAACACAGTAAAAATGTGTCAACCACTCATTTTGGCAGCTGAAGTGGCAGTTCACTTTATCAGTAGTGGCTAGAGGAGTACAGCTGCATTTTGTTCTTGTGACCTGACCCCTGTTTATTACTTTAGTGCATTTTACATAAGAAACAAGCTGCTCTATCAGGAAACTTGTTCACGGCAATTACAAAAAAAATACTAATATTCCTACTATTAGACCTTTTTCTAGAAAACTGATTTGAAATGTTCTGTCAGTAACCTGCAATCTCAAATATTCATGTAATAAAACCACTGCGTTTGACAGATGTAATTTTAGGTAAGCATGACTGGACTTTGATTACTGTGATTAAACACTATAACCCACTGGTAAAAATGAAAACTCCTCCTTTCTTGTGAGAAACCACTGAGCAAAACAAAATTTGACCAGACTCAGTATTGATCAGGTTTGAGGAGATTCTGCTACAGCCTTTTTATATTGCTATGTGGGTAACAGGGTCAGTGGTATTCCCCAATAATAATGGCCAACATTTTCTGCTCTCATTTTATCTAGAGTTTTCAGACTTCATTCTTTAAGTTAAAATTCATTATTATATTTGTGAAAGAACTTTGTTTCAGATCAAAGTGTAATTTTAAGTCTACAATGAGACAGGGGAGATGGATATCTCAGTTATTTACCTTCTAAAATGAGGAACTGAAGGTTAACACCTGTTATTCTCTCACTTTAAAATGAAAGAAAACATCTGGTTTCTAAGCCATACAAAGCTTCATATTACAAATTATGCAGTTGCTTTAGTAATAAAGGTCTATGCCAATTTTTTGATTGTTCAGCTTTTAAATATTTTGGACCATTCTGTGCAGAACAGTTCAAAATGACAGTATTTGAGAATTTATTACACATCAGTATACTTCAAAGGGAAGTCTTAACTTATGTCTATGCAGCACCACAGAACTTGATGAAAAAAATGAGGTAACATTCATGCAAAATTTGTGACCTTATAATGCCAAAAATTAAATATTAAATGAACTAAATTCCACTACCTTTTTCGTGCTGAAAAGTACCTTCTTTTGTCAGTTGTTTCCAAAAGTCATGACTTCATCATTTACCCTTCTTTGAATGGCTTTTTATGTTTGGCAGATGAGTGAGTTTTACCATACACAACAACTACGTAACAACAGATAACCACCACTGCTTCTTACAGTCTAAAACCCCCTTAGAATAATCTTCACTTTACAGATGGCTAGCAATCAGGTGGAAATGAAAGAAGGCAAAATAAAAGAAGCTCTAAAGGTTTTGGCACAGAAGGCCCTTGAAAAGCAGGCGGTTCTGCTGAGAAGGCTGATTTTAATTGCGTTAGGTAGAAAACAAACCTCTTTCAAGTGTTGTGGGAAAACATATGAAGGGCAGAAAACATGTTTGGTGAGTCGATATAGATACAAAAAGGAAAAGAAACAAACAGGAACAGATATTACAACAGACAGCACTGATCCTACAAGAACGCTCACAATTATCCACACAGGAGTTACACCTGCAAGAGACAAGAAAAAAAAAAAAACACATTTAGAACTGTGATTATTAATTTCTGAATATATTATTTTCAAATTACAACTTTCTCTATGGAATTTAAAAACCCCCCAAACTATTACAAAATTATAACTGCAAGCATAAGTCTTTGTTTCCAGTTGTAAAACACCTCTTGGCTCTTAAATTTTCAGTCTGAATAGGCTGAGGAAGTTACTAATAAAGCAAGTTTACAAGCCATCATATTTAGATATTTACAGTTACACATACTGGTGATTCTACATGCAATACTAGGCAAATGATTAAAGGAAGAAAGACCAACAAAACCATATGTAGAAAGCTATTGCACAGTCTGTGGTGTTTCAGGACTGTAGAAGTTGACACATAACACTACCAGAGTATAGGCTTCCACTTTTAAAGAAATCTGTAAAAATAGCAGCAAAGTAAACACAGCAGGGAACAAAAGTCTGTAAGATTGAGCCTTTAAAAAAAATTATGTCGTGCATGGGGATTTCACAACAGGCAATGGGAATGAAGATGTATCCATACATCACTGTATAAATGTATCCATACATCACTGTATAAACCAACCTATGCTTGCTAAGCACTGTTCAAGCCAAGAACTAACAAGCAACACCACCACCAAAACCCACCTGCAATTCAGCTGCAGCACATGCAAATAGTATGCTTGTAGGAAAAATACACGAGGAAACATTTTATGAGGAAAAACATACGAGAAACAGGTTAGCCCAATAACTTCCCCAGGCTTCCCCCAGACAGCTTCCTCATTAACCTGTGTCTCTGTCTCTGATTTTCCACATGTTATCTGAGGGTGTAAGTTAGCTGAAATACACATTATGGCTGTGGAAAAGACAGTACCCAGGACCCCATCCTTTCTTTAAACCAGGGACATGAAGCTCCCAGCTGAGACGACAGGGTCAGACCATGTTGTGGTTACTGCTGGACTTCAGACAGCAGCTAAGGTGGCATGGCTGGAAAGGAAATCGCTTTTATACTTAACTGCATTTGAAATGAGAAGGAAAGCATCTAAACAAAAATATTTGTTCATATTATTGATCAGTAACTGCTGTGTTTCACAGAGAAAGAGCATCATGGCTTAGCCTTGTGACAGACACTGTTAATATCACCACAGATGAAAGAGACTGCAACACATGGCCCAGTTCCATTTTCGGTTGCAAATATACAGAACAAAGGCTATCACAGCTGATAGTAAAAGAAATTCAGACGCACAGTGTGATCAGTGAGGAGCCTCTAGTCCATTTAACTCTGATTTCCAGAGTATGAGGAATGGAGAGCATCATGCCATCAATGCCATATTGCTTGTAGTTTTCACTTCAATCCAACTTCTCTGCTCCAAAGGCACACACGTATTAACCATCAATACTACAGTGACAAACACATCCCTTTTTGGAAGCTTTACACATCACACCGATTTTCATTTTGAATGGCTTTGCACATTTCCTGGTTTCCTACAGCACGTGTCCCACTGTGATTCACCAGGTATTACCATTGTGGGTTGTCTGCTCACAAAGCTCTCTGCTCAGCTTCCCTGTTTTGTTCCACTCAGGGATAGTTGCTTGCACTTGAATACAATATATTGTCCATGGCTCCAACTGAGATAATATTTCAGAGTTATGTTCAGTATCTATGCGAGTTACCTAATAATAGAGAAGAATACAAAAACTTTGAAAAGCACGAGTTCAGTGAATGGACAAGCTACATGTAGCAGGACAAACCCTAGCAGTTATAGCTGTAATGTGAATAAGGCTTTTAAAGGCAGAATGAAATGCCCTCCCTGCCTATATCACATAACTAATAACTCTAACTCTTTTGCCTATGGTTATAGTGTGAGACCATTACCACCACTGACTTTCTGGCTGCTTCTGGATGCATTAATGACATTTTAGGCTAAAGAGGTCTATGGAGATGTGATAAACGAGATCTGTCTGCACAGAGAAACAACTGCTTAACCAAATGAGATCAACTAAGAGTGCTGTCATGGGCAAACATAACTGAATTTGAGACAGAGCAAGTAGGATGGATGTTCTAGACAAAAAAATGAGAGAAAGCAAAAAGGCTTGTGGAAGCTATTAGGTGACTGACAGCAGATGCAACTTGCTGTTTAGAGGCATGATTGATTCTGTCTCTGTAACTATACAGTCCCTGCAGAGTATAGGAGTCCCTGCGACATGCCCCATTACGTAGTAACAGATTCTTTCTCAGGGGTGAAAAGACTCTATAGCTGGGTTTCAATATTTAGAGCAAGCATCCACTTCAAAAAACAACCTATGAAGTTACACAGACTATGCCTTGTAGTTTAGGAATTGAAAACCAGTCTGTTTATTGGGAAATTATGATCCCTTATCTTTTGGCATTGAATGCCAAACAATTTTGCAGGGTAACAAATACAAATCAGAATTATATGCAGTGGAGTCCTATTATATGAAAATTGTACTGAGGTACAAAGCACTAATTATACTGTGACTGGTATCTTCTGGTAGTAGAACTCAAGACCCTATCATTAATATATTATTTGTGATCTTTCTCCATGCATTTTGTAACATATCTGGCTGTGGAAGAGGCTGTTCATGAGAGGAAGAAAGCAAATTACAACTGAAAGAAATTGAAGAGGTGAAGATGACCACAGCTAATATAAGGCCTCATCCATGGTGGTATTCAAATCCCAGAGTCCTACGAAGAGCACAAATATTTGAATGACATGAGATTTGAATCTAGGTCAGCTTATTGCCATGGTCACAGATACTGCTGATGTTACAGTTTCTGAGTTTGCCCTTGCTTATATGTGTGAAATATAGAGATTTGGTGGGGAAGACTGCATCGCAAATAAACACATCACTAAACTGAGGGAATAAACTCTCATTATGTAGCAGTTATTTCTAATAATGGAAAGAGCAAATTATATCCATGCTACTGTTTAACTACACAGCTATCTGCCGTTTCCTCTGAATAGCTTGTAGTGACTAGACTATTACACTGTAATTAGTAGAGATAAATTTTTCCTTCAGTACCATTAGCATTTGGAACTTCATGAGCATGCTCTTTTACCAAGAAAAGCATAAATCACAGTCATGGAGTCACAATGCCCAGGAAGCTGAAATTACCTCTGTATTGCTGTCTTTCTTCCAGTACAGTATTCTGTAATTCCATGAGCCGTAATATTGCTTTAGATGCCACTTGTCATATTTATGTTCAGATGAAGGGCCTGTGAAATCCACATGCAGGGACCCAGATTCTGACTTCACTTTTACATCAGGTGGCCCAATGACTGCTATATATTAGAATGGTGGAAGAGAAGAAAGAACAGCATTCAGTTCCGCATTGTTTTCAATTTGACATTTTTATACAACTCATGACAATTCACATTTTAAATAATTTAATCTATTAAAAGAAATTAATTTTCTTTCATGGGTCAGGCTAAATAAATTATTTCCTTATAGAACTGGTCTTGAAAAGGATTTATTTTTGCAGTTAAATAACAGATACTATTGCAGACTATGTTTCCCATACCATAAATTAACTCAGTTCTCTTTTGCCAGCTGTGGCAAGTCCTGGGAGAGGAAGGACTATTTTTATAGGTTATTACTCACTTCTCCTTCTGGACTAAACTGTTGCAACATCTGTCTCATCTGAGTAGGCCCTCTAGTGAGTGTTTTAATCATTGTGATCATTTTGAAAAACAGAAACATTTATTTCTGCATGTCTTACCAATTGTACTCCTTAGACTGAATATTATATTCCTGCATCTTGTAAATGGCTTGTCTGTATTATGTTTTTGTGCCACTACCTAAACCATTTCATGAGTAGCTTAGTTACCAGCTATGTTGTGTCAGCAATGAGCTTTCCATTAAAGTCTCCCATAATCCCAGCTAACAACTTTGCCTTGGCTGCCTCTACTGAAGTTCTGCCTGGCTACAGTCACGCTATAAAGTGTCTAAGAAAGGCAGAGCTCAATATACAGATAATTTTGCGTTCCTCTAGAAATATGTGCTTCTAGAACTAAAAATTTAAAAAACCCTGCTTGCTGGACTGTACATTCACGTAATGCTCACAAATATGTTGTTGAACTTATGAAAAAAAATGTGAAGAGTGTCTTGGTTACTCTGGTTTTCTTCGGCTATTCCCAGAATACAGTGTGGAATTTATGAAAAAAAAGCACTATCAGAAATAATAACACAGAAAGGAGTATCAGGTATTTTTATTATGATGCTCTGCTCAGATCAGCTATGACAACATCAAAAACTCTCATGTCCTCCTCAGAGATTTGGCCAGTTGGCCAGTACTCTGAGATATATCTTTCCAGTTAGTTTTATACCCAGATTTTCCCATTCAGGAATAAGCTGCTTTTCCAAAGCCATGTTTGCTCTGAAGGCCACATGCTCTTTCATATATACGTCAAACTACAATTGTCTTACAAGTTTTCTCTCTACTCTGAAAACATATCCATATTTTTTGTACTGCATTTTATTTTGGCTCTAATTTATACTTGCAACATTGTTTGGTGGTTGGCGTTTTTTTTCCTGCTATATTTTAGTGCTTCTGTTCTAGGCAAATTAAATTATATCAACATTATGTTTTTGGCGAGTTAACCAATAAAAGTATTTTGAAAAACAAGTCTGTAAACGGTAAAATTAGACTCTGAAATCCAAGGAACAGAATGATGAAATTCAAACAAATGAAGGCAGAACAAGAAAAAAAAAAAGGGGGATTTTAAAGGTGTAACAGAAGCTTCCTGCATGATTTTGTATTAAGAGCTGTGAGGAGAAAAAAGCCTTGGGTAACATTAACTACATAATCTAAAATAATTTTATTTTTGCTTACGAGTGAAGTAAGAATGTACAAAGCAAAGGATGCTCATTGGTAAAAAACACTCTCTCATTCCCAACTCAGGTGACAGCAACATGATTAACATCTCTGTTGTGCAATGTAATGCAAGGCAATGTCTAAATCATCTCTCACAAATGAATGGTAATATTGTGCAATGAAGATTTCTTGAATTAATCTTTATCTGTGAAATTAATTTAAAAAAATAAAGAAACCTTTTTGCCTGACACAGCAATGAAGAAAGTAATTGAACTTATTCAGATATACAGGAAGTCTGAATCCTTCTGAATACACATCTGAATCCTAGAATACACAAGAATCTGAAGAAAAACTCTCCCTGGCTGAAAAATATAAATTATCCCTATTTTAAGGGAAAAATACAGAGTTTTTTAAAAACTTGAAAGATGTTTCCAGTATCTAACATCTGGCTATAATCTATGTGAATCTATGCTTTCTGACAGCAACTTCTGTCTTCAGAGAATGAAAGTGTTACAGCTAAGATTTTATAGTTCAATGTAATTAAATTTTAAAATTACCTGCATGCTATAGCTTTTCTTATGGAGCCAAACTGTAAAAGTGCATTAATAACAGACAATATTTTTTTGCAGAAGATTAGAAAAAGGCTTACTGTCATCCATTGGCTTAAATCTGATGGTCACCCAGTCTGAATGGTTATTTTCTGACTCTGCTCTGACCCGTAAAAGGTAGTCTCCATATGCAGGAAGAGAAGAGATGTCACACTCTGTGAGTCTCAAGTTTGTACTCACATTTTCATATCTGTCTCCAGGGAAATTGATGCTGTATGGAGAGAAACAAAATGTGCACAATGTGTAAATTATAACTAAATGTTTTTCCTCTCAATTAACTGGAAAAGTGGCCTATCTTTCAGTTAATACAACCAATTATGACTCATGGACAAGAAAAACTAGATCCAGCGTATAAGAAACATGATTACTTATGTGTAGTAATGCTTAAGCATTTTACATGCATCTATAAATCCATGATAAAGAGATTAAAATTATGATTCCGTAAATATCATGCCCTTTTCTTGAGAAAACTTGATTCAACAGACAGTAGTTATCAGACAAGTCTGCAAATATTAGACAATACTGCTATGTTTGGCTTTGCTGTCTAACTTGGACTTTGTTCAGAAGAGTCTTTAAGATATGCATATAAGTAAAAGCCAGAGAAAACAGAGCCTGCGAACTGACTGGGAACTGTTTACTACATGATATTCTTTCTGTTTTGTATCAAAAGCCCACCCAGGAATGTAGTGATCAACAGATAATTGCTATCAGAACCCAGAAAAATCTTCTTTTGACTAAGTTGGCCTTTACCTTCGGTTTGGGGATTTCCCCTCAGCAGGCACCTGCCATCATCTCTGCACCATATCCTACCCTATCTTGGCCAAAGAATTCAACCTTCAGCAGGAACGTGAGACCTCTGGCCCATCATGTGGTTTCCTTGCCAAGCACAGTGGCAGGCAGGCAGGGAGCCCACCGCTGGGCAGGGTAAGTGGCCATCCTCCTCGGTACGGCCACACAGACAGCTTGTCCCAACAGGAAAGATCAACTCAGAAGGACATGGTGGCTAAACCAAATCAAAGCTAAATCAACCCACCAAACTGACAAAAGGAGTCCTTGGAAAATTGTCCCAAGTTTAAGGCACTGAATGGAAGACCCACTAGCCTGCACTTCACTGGGGATTTCCAGTAAGAGTACAGGCAAGCTGGCTGCACTGGTGGCAGAGCACAGAATGCTGCTGGAGCGAAGGCCAGGTACGGTCCTAATGCTCAGCAGGACTAAGTGTCTTGAATTGCAGGTACCAGCTACATGACAGAGAAAAAATACACATAGAGCTAATAACAGCCGATGTTAAAATGTGTTTCTGGTCCAAAAAAACCCCTATGTACAAAGCTGCCTCAGGTGTGAAATGTGTAGAAAATGCCTCTGCTCTGTTATTTAGCTCAGAAGATAAGCCTCTCAGAAGCTAAAAGAAATGAACAGCTACTGATCTTCCTATAAAAAAGGAAACAAAAATCACACACATGCGCAGATGTAAAACGTGAATTAAAGAAAGCACAACTCCCTCAGACTTACCTCTTAGATTGGACGGTGTAACTTATATTCCCTCTGTGAAACCTAGGTGTGTCCCACTGTAAAATACTATGAAGATTAACTGAAATAATTCTTGTGTTTTGGGGTTTTGGCACTATTCCAGATACTGTGGGAACAATCAAAACCAAACAAACATTTTAGTATGTGTTTTCCCATCAATCAGTCATCCAAAACTTAAACACAGCCTTCTTTCTCTTCCTTGCCTCAGACATTTTTTAAAAACAGACTTTAATATAATTAATTTAAATCCCGATGCCTATTGTTCCTTCTGAGCTTATGCAACAAAAACAAATTAGCCACCATCAATGATTTCCAGTAAGTACAGTCTTTATCATTTATTACGCACGACTGACTTGTTACTGCCTATGACTTGGCATGTAGCCATCAGGCTACATTAATGAACTCTCACTGAGACTGTCAAAATCAAATTTTCCTAAGCAGTGCACCAGTAGCACTATAGAAATAACACAGGTGCATGGATTGATTTGTTGCTTGGCTTTTTAGGGTGGGTTATTTTGAGTCTTTTTTGGTGGTGGTTTGTTTTTTTTTTTGTTTTTTTTTTCCTAAGAGGAACACTGTGGTTTAAACCTGGCTGGCAGCCAAACACTATGAAGCTGCTCACTCATCGTCCCCTATCCAGTTAGAGAATTGGAGGGCTAAAAGTAAGGAGACTGACTTGTAGGTTGAGATAAAAACAATTTAATAATGGAAATAAAGTAAAATTAATAATAATAATAATAATAATGATAGTAGTAATCATAGATATTCTACATAGGTATCACAAATGAGCGATGCACAATGTGATTGCTCACCACCTGTCAACTGATGCCCAGCCCATTCCTGGCTAGTGATCACAGAGGAGGGAAAATCCCGAACTCACAATCCTGGAAGAGAGTGAGCAAGCTTCCCAGACAACCTTCATCTATATACTGAATGTGACGTTATGTAATATGGAATACTCCATTGGCCAGTTTGGGCCCATTGCTCTGGCTATACTCACTCCCAGCTTCTCGTGCACCTGCACACTAGCAGGACATGGGAATTTGAAAAGTCCTTGATTTCTTATCAACAGCTAAAAACATCACTGTATTATAAACATCCTTCTCATGCTGAATCCCATACTAAATCTATACTACAGCACTATTCTAGCTACTAAGAAGAAAAATTAGCTCTATTCCAGCCAAAACCAGGACAAACATGAACAGTCTTTCTACACAGACCTGGATATAAAACTGAAATAATTAAAAAGAAGTCCACCATAAGCATGTTTATATCATCACTGCATTGCCATTTAAAATGCTTTACTCATTTTGCTATTAAGCCACCCTTTGGAAAAACAGAGATAAACAAGAAATACCTTCAAAGGCAAGAGATATACCATACAGATAAAAATATCATTGTCACTCTTCACAAATGATGAAAACACAATAGTTTTGCTTTATTGAAACTGAGTAAAGGAAACCCTAAAGTAGTATTGATGAACAGTCTATTACTATTATGATTTAATTATTTAAAAATAATTGTTGGTATTGAAACTAAAATAGAAAATGTTTTGGCCCACTACTGCAACACAAATAATCATAGAATGGCTTGGGTTGGAAGGGACCTAGTTCAAACCCCCCTGCCATGGGCAGGGACATCTTCCACTAGTTGAGGTTGCTCAAAGCTCCTTCCAACCTGGCCTTGAACATTGCCAGGGAGGGGGCAGCCACAATTTCTCTGGGCAACCTGTTCCTGTGTCTCACAGTAAAGAATTTCTTCCTTATATCTAATCCAAATCCACCCTTGTCCTTTCCCTACACTCCCTGATAACGAGTCCCTCCCCATCTTTCCTGTGGGCCTCCTTTATGTACTGGAAGGCCACTATCAGGTTTCCCCAGATCCTTCTCTTCTCCAGGCTGAACAACCCCAACTCTCTCAGCCTGCCCTCACAAGGGAGGTGCTCGAGCCCCCTGGTCATCTTCATGGCCTCCTCTGGACCCGCTCCAGCAGGTCCATGTCCTTATGTTGGGTGCCCCAGAGCTGGACACAGCGCTGCAGGTGGGGCCTCACCAGAGAGGAGTAGAGGGGGAGAATCCCCTCCCTCAACCTTCTGGCCATACTTCTCTTGCTGTAGCCCAGGGTACAGTTGGCTTTCTCGGCTGCAAGTGCACACTGCTGGCTCATAGTCAGTTTTCCATCCACTAATACCCCCAAGTCCTTCTCCTCAGGGCTGCTCTCAGTTCACTCATTGCCCATCCTGTATTTGTGCTTGGGATTGCCCTGACCCATGTGCAGGACCTCGCACTTGGCCTCGTTGAATTTAATGAGGTTTGCAAACAAACCCTGTCAGATCAGATTATTGCATAAATGTTACAGCAGTAAAATCTAATGACATAAGTTCTAAGAAAAAAAAATAACCTGTATGTCTATAGTTGATGCATACACGAAATGTGTCAGTTCCCCCACTTTAGTAGATGAGTTTTAAATTGAAACCCTGCTTCAACATAAACTCAATTCCTCCAATGTTACCCTTGCACCCAACAAATCAACTCAAAACGCTTCACATCAGAAAAGCAGAAGTTGCTCGCTTCCCTGCACCCAGACCCCCATGAGAGATGCCAACCCGGTGCATACGTGCCCTCACCGGTGCCCACCCCAGGCACTCGCTCTTGGAGATCTCTGCCTGTGCATACGCTGTGTCGCTGTGCCCTTCACAGGCACCTCTGGCCTCCTGCTCCCACACCTTCTCCCACCTGCAAATCCCAGGTACGCGGAACACCAAGGAAGATGGGTGCAGGTTACAGACTGCAAAGACTCAGTGTGAACATAGCTGAAAAAAAATCTGGCTAGTAGAAGGCATCAGATTTCTCCTTTACTGCAGAACGTGGTCCTGGCTCCAAGGACTCCCTAGGGCACTGTCCATGCTTTGAGGAAGCTTCCTCCAAAGGTTTGACATACACTTGTTAAAGGCACGATGCCTTTGAAAGATCGCTTCCCTGACAGCGTTTTCTACTTGAAAAGCCTCCAGGTGAAGTTTTTTTTTATTCAGCACTACGGACCCAAAGAGATGAGAAGATACTTCTGGGGTTTGCTACTTCGTAAACGAGATGTTTGCAGGCATGACATCCCAGTCTCAAATACGGCCTGTTTTGGGGAACGTACATCAGGGACCAGTTTCAGCGGCCGTGCCCGGGCAGCCGGGGAAGGCCGGTTCGCGGGGGGCTTTGTGGGCACAGCTACACCCGCGCTCCCGCAGCCCGCCGTTATGC